CCTCCATTCACTTACTCATTCATTCATTTCCTCACTCAACAAACATTTTTTGTGATAATTAACTATATGCCAAGCACAGTTCTAAGCACTGATGATGAAGCAGTTAATAACACCTGAAAACCCTGTCCTCTCAGAATTTATATTTGGGCAGGGGAGAGGGAAAAACAAACAAGCAACATATATACTATTATAACAAATAAGCAAAATATTTGATCCCAGATATGATCACTGCTGTGGAGCGAAAGAAGAAAGGGTGTAGCTAGCATGGGTTAGGATTTTTGATAGGGTCGTCAAGGGGGGCCTCATTGAGAAAGCAACATTTTAGCAAAGATCTGAAGGAGAGGAGAATTTATGTCACTTGGCTATTTGGAAAAATACCAGATAAGAGGATCTTTCAGCAGGACCATGCCTAGCCAAATCTGTAAATAGTAAGGTGGCCAGTGTGGTTGGAACAAAGTAAGGAGAATGGCAGATGAGGTTGAAGCGATTCAGCCCACAAAAGTGGCTAGTCTATTTACTATGATCTGAACATTAATACTAATGAAGATAAAGTTTTATGGATCATGTGTCCAGGTCACTGAAATCTCTATGCTTATCTCTACTTGATATGTTTGACTTATTTCAACTCTGAGATCATCCTGTCCATAAAGAGAGCAAGAGCTTACCCAGTCAGCATTAGGTCAGTCTTGCTTCTCGTTCAACTCTGATGTTGAAATCTAGTTCTGATAAACAGAGTTAGGCCTTGTCCAGTTGTGCACAAGCCCCAGCACTGCAGTCCACATCTAATAACTAGACCACTAGCTTTGGTATCACACGGAGGTCCTGGTCTGATGTCCTTCCTATTACCACAGTTCCTCCAGGACTGGAACTCTGCTTTCAGAGGAGTGAGCCCTGACTCTGGCCCCACCCTGGGCCACTGCTTTCTGCGTCCCCTTCCCTGCAGGATTAGACACCAGTGGGTTCCATGGACCTTCTACTACTGCCCCCTGTTGGGTCCTTGCCTGTGCCGGCTCTGATCCTACACAACTGCCTGCTTTCTGAGTTCTTGTCCCCCCCAATTTGACCCATCCCATCACCAACCAGGTTGCCAACTGTTTTTAATCACCCTAAGTTTTAAATTGTTTTACTGCAAGAATTTCAGTTTTATTTGGTGGTAAAAGAATTTTTTAAAGTCGATAAAGTATTAATCAGAGAAACTGGAACAATGACTGGATATTATGTTAGATATGATAATGGTAGTGTAGTTATGCCTTTAAGAGAGTCCTTATTTAAGACAGCCCTTAGAGCTCATACTGAAAAATTTGTGGGTGAAAATTATATGATGCCTGAATTTTGCTTTAAAAACATCCAGTGTAGGAGGGGAAGGGGACACAGATAAATCCAAATTGGCCATAAGTCGATAATTACTAAGCTGGGCGACAGGTACATGGAAATGACTTACACTAGACTCTTTTATACATTACCATTTTACTTTTACTTTTATACATTAACATTTAAAAATAAATAGGTGGGCCGGGCGCGGTGGCTCAAGCCTGTAATCCCAGCACTTTGGGAGGCAGAGACGGGTGGATCACGAGGTCAGGAGATCGAGACCATCCTGGCTAACACGGTGAAACCCCGTCTCTACTAAAAAATACAAAAAACTAGCCGGGCGAGGTGGCGGGCGCCTGTAGTCCCAGCTACTCGGGAGGCTGAGGCAGGAGAATGGCGTAAACCCGGGAGGCGGAGCTTGCAGTGAGCTGAGATCTGGCCACTGCACTCCAGCCTGGGCGACAGAGCCAGACTCCATCTCAAAAAATAAATAAATAAATAAATAAATAGGTGAAGGGATTTGTACATTGGCTAACTAGGTGCAAAAAATGAAGTTAGATAGACCATACCTACAGTAAATTCCAGATCAATCAATATGAGCGATACCAGGGAAGAACCAAATGAAAATATAGGTAAATGTTTACCTGATCTCACGGTGAAAAATATCCCTTCAAGCATAAAAGGAAAAAAAAACCATAGAGGAAAAACTTAATTGATATGATAAAATTTAAGAAAGGCTCTACATTAAAAATAAAAATTAAGAAAGCCTCTACGTTAAAAACAACAAAAAAAATCCTTTTAACAGGACAGCAACAAACTGGGAAAGATAGGAGGATCTTTTAATATGTTTTAACTAAAACGTATTATATAAGGTAAGCATTATTATACTTGATGTAAAAAGAGCTTTTATGAAATAAGAGAATAACGCCTCAATATAAAAAGTGTCAAAAGACATGAGTGGGAAATTACTTGAAAATACACATATGTGGCCAAAAAGATATATTTTAAAACCTCAATCTCAGCCAGGCACAGTGGCTCATGCCTATAATGCCCATACTGTGGGAGGCTAAGAAGAGAGGATTACTTGAGGCCAGGGTTTCAAGAGCAGCCCTGGGCAATATAGCAAGACTTCACCTCCAAATATATATATATGCCAGGCATTAGCTAAAAATAAAAAAATTAGCCATACCTGCAGTCTCAGCTACTTGAGAGGCTAAGGTGGGAGGATGGCTTGAGTCCAGAAGTTTGAGGCTACAGTCAGCTATGATCACACCACTGCACTCTAGCCTGTGCAAGAGTGAGACCCCATCTCAAAAACAAAACTAAACTAAACTAAAAAAAACACCTCAATCTCAACAAAAATAAGAGCTACCATTTTTGATCCATCAGTTGAGCAGAGTTTTGAAAATGAGAACACTTGGTGTAGGTAGGGCAGAAAACAGGCACACCATTCATGGTATTAGGGTGGTGACATGATGCCACCTTTCCTGGGAGGAATCTGGCAATGGGCATCAAAGGACTAAGATAAGAACAGTTAGACTCTTTGACCTGACAATTCTAATTTGGAAATTTATCCTTAGGAAATTAGTAGACAGAAATATATTGATGCTCAGTGATGTTTGTTACAATGTTATTTACAATAATAACACACTGTAATCTCAGCACTTTGGGAGGCCAAGGAGGGGGAATTGCTTGAGCTCAGGAGTTTGAGACCAGTCTGGGCAATATGGTAGAGCAATATCTCTACTTAAAAAAAAAGAAAAAAAATTAACTGGGTGTGCTGGTGCACAACTGTGGTCCCAGCTACTCTTGAGGCTGAGGTGGGAGGATTGCTTGAGACTGGAAGGCGGAGAATGCAGTCAGCCGAGATCACACCATTGCATTCCAACCTGAGCAACAGAGCAAGACCCTGTCTCAAAAAGCAACAATAATAATAGCACACTGAAAACAAATGGAAACATCCACAAATAATGATTTGGTTCATTCATAGCATATGGTATAGCTTATTCACAAGATAGAATACTATATAGCCACAACACACACTACAACTAATGTATATTATACTCAAAATGAAAGCGTGAGTACCTTCCCATATCCCGGAATACTTGTTGAAAACATGATTTCATGGCTACTACATATTCTCTCTAGAATTCACACTTACAGATACTCATAGATTAATACGTATCTCAAAATGTTCCTGGTGGTTGCTGCTGAATAGTAGGGCTCAGCATGCTAATTCTCTTTATCATACTTTTCTGGAATTTACAAAATTTTGACAATGAGCGTATATTGCTTTAAAATCAGAAAAATAGACTCGAAACAATTACAAAATCAGAAAAATGAATGACACTAAAGAAATTTAGACTTGGGGAAAGATGCCAAAAAGGATCTGGCATACCCCGTGTACTGCCTCATGTGATCCGGGATGAATTCAAAGCACGTGGGGATGTGCACGTCCAGGGTTGCATAGTCAATCAGGCAGCAGCCCAGCCCGGCCTCTGACTCCAGGAACTTGTCAGTGCCTGCCCCTCTCAGAGGTGTCTTTGTGGACACATGTGGTACTCAGTGGTTTGACAGATGCAGGCTGATCAAGGAATGCGTCTGGTAAACTGCTATGTTAAAAACCTAACAGATCCTTGTCCAGGTGCGGTGGCTCACACCTGTAATCCCAGCACTTTGGGAAGCTGAGATGGGCACATCACCTGAAGTCAGGAGATCAAGACCAGCCTGACCAACATGGTGAAACCCCGTCTCTACTAAAAATACAAAAAATTAGCCAGGTGTGGTGGCATGTGCCTGTAGTCCCAGCTACTTGGGAGGCTGAGGCAGGAGAATCACTTGAACCCGGGAGGTGGAGGTTATAGTAAGCCAAGACCACACCATTGCACTCCAGGCTGGGAGACAGAACAAGACTCCGTCTCAAAAAAACAGCAACAAAAAGAACCTAACAGATCCTGTACTTTCTTCTCAAAAGCTTGACGTATATCATGAGGCAAGTGAAGTACTAGAAGCAAAAGTATACTTTACTGATGTCTACATACATTATTAGACCTGACAATGATGCTTTTCACACTCGCTGCATTATTTATAAGCCTGCTGGTTATTTACATTTTAAAAAACCCCCCACAAAGCCTCACATAGTACTATGGATGTAATGATGTCTAATAGAGCCTTTTGCTGTTGCTGTTTTTTGCACTTGCTTTTGTTGCTGTTTTTTCTAAAATAAATAAATAAATAAATAAAAACTTAAATTATAATATTTATCATATTAATTGATGTGTATAGTTTTTAAAAATCAAATAGTAATAGAAACAAAATAGCATGCCTTGCGCCTCCCCTCCCTATTGCTCCCTGGTCTTAAACTGTCATAAGAAGTCATGAGAAACCATGTACAAATTGTTAAGCCATTTCTTCTGCCATTTACCTTCCAATTCCTAAGGAATATGCATGTGCTGTTATTTATTTTAGACGTTATCTTTTTCCTCCCTGTTTTGACAGATGTCATCTAGCTCAAGTGCACTTTGCTCTCCCTCCCCCATTCCCCTCGTGTAAGCATACCACAGTCTTTGAGTTCACATTATTATTTGTGTCATGTCGATACTGTTCACATGAGCCAGGAAGAGTACAACTTTTTTCTTAAATTATCATCTCTCAAAAATAACTTTTTTGTCTGCTTACCTGTCTTCCAGTGAGCCAGAAGCCTCCCTATGTCAGCAAATCCACTGGTGCCGTGACTTCCCACTGAGCCTCCTGACTTCCTGTTCTGCACTGGCTTGTCTGCTTCCTGGACCTGCTGCACAACTTGCTCCGAGTCCTATACTTGACGTCCTGCTTTTAGATCCCATGCCTTCCATGCCATTGGTTTACAAGTTTATTTTCCTGGGGTACTTCCTTCAGGAACGTTCAAGGAGAGAGCAAAGAAGGTAAACTTTTGCATGCTTGCGTGTCTCTAAGTGTCTTTCAGTTGACTGAAAGTGTGGCAGAATGTAGACTACTAAGGTTGAAAACTATTTCTCTTTGAATATGGGGATCATTTTTCTTCAGTTTCCTAGAGCTGCTGCTGAAAGTCAGCTGTCATTCTGACCTCAGTATCCTTATGCATGACCTGTCGGCTTCTCTGTGCAAAGCACTGTCTAACAGACACAGAACAGAAACCGTCTATGTCATCTAAAATTTTCCAGGAGCTACCTTAAAATAAAAAGAAACAAGTGGAAGTAGTTGTAATAATGTGTTATATTTAGCCCAATATTTAAAAAATTTTAAATATCATTTTGGCCGGGCATGGTGGCTCAGGCCTGTAATCCCAGCACTTTGGGAGGCCGAGGCAGGTGGATCATGAGGTCAGGAGTTCAAGACCAGCCTGACTAATATGGTGAAACCCCGTCTCTACTAAAAATACAAAAATTAGCCGGGCATAGTGGCGCATGCCTGCAGTCCCAGCTACTCAGGAGGCTGAGGCAGGAGAATCGCTTGAACTGTGGAGGTGGAGGTTGCAGTGAGCCAAGATTGCGCTACTGCACTCCAGCCTGGGCCACAGAGTGAGACTTCATCTCCAAATACATATATAATCATTTCAACATATTTTCAGAATGAAAACTATTAGTGAGACATTTTACTATTTTGTTTTCTACTAAGCCCAACAATATTCAGTGTCTACTTTACACTTACAGCACATCTCCATTCAGAGCGGCCACATCTCCAGTGCTGAACAGTCAGCCATGGCTAATGACCACCGTATTGAACAGCATTAATTTACAAGCTTTCAGGATTTTCTCTTGATCCCAAATATATGAAAATTTCAGGCCAATATATGTCTAGATGTGGGTCCTCTTCATTGTCATGCTGGGCATCTATCGAGCCCTTCCAATCCAGAGACTCATACACTGCAACTCTGAGAGGTTTTCTTGAAGACAAAGAACAAAAAATAGTGTTAGTAGTACTATTATCATGCCAACTCTTCACATCCTTTTTCTCTGTTCCTCTTTCTGGCACCCTATTCAGTCAGGTATCAGGCCTTCTGGATTGATTATCTGAATTAATTGCACTTTCTCTATTATCCTTTTCTGTTTTACTTCCTTTTTGTTCTGCTTCCTGGGAAATTTCTTTAATATTGCACTCTAATCCTTATTTGATGTTTTTAGTTCAGCTGCCACAATTTTGTTTGAGGTTTTTCTTCTCTCTTATATTCTAATACCTGTTCTGTTTCATGAATGTAATGCCTTATTTTATTTGTCTGCTGACAGAAATAAAAGATTTTAGAAGTTTTATTCTGGCTGGGTGCGGTATTAAGAAAAGATATTAGGCCGGGCGCGGTGGCTCAAGCCTGTAATCCCAGCACTTTGGGAGGCCGAGACGGGTGGATCACGAGGTCAGGAGATCGAGACCATCCTGGCTAACACAGTGAAACCCCGTCTCTACTAAAAAATACAAAAAACTAGCCGGACGAGGTGGCGGGCGCCTGTAGTCCCAGCTACTCGGGAGGCTGAGGCAGGAGAATGGAGTAAATCCGGGAGGCGGAGCTTGCAGTGAGCCGAGATCTGGCCACTGCACTCCAGCCTGGGCCACAGAGCGAGACTCCGCCTCAAAAAAAAAAAAAAAAAAAAAAAAAAAAAGAAAAGATATTAAAAGTTTTATTCTGGCTGGGCGTAGTGGCTCACACCTGTAATCCCAGCACTTTGGGAGGCCAAGGCAGGTGGATCACCTGAGGTCAGGAGTTTGAGACCAGTCTGGCCAACATGGTGAGACCAACATGTATTTTTAATTTTCTATTAAAAATACAAAAATTAGCTGGGCGTGATGGCGGGCAACTATAATCCCAGCTACTTGGGAGGCTGAGGCATGAGAATCACTTGAACCTGGTAGGCAGAGTTTGCTGTGAGCCAAGATCATGCCACTGCAATCCAGCCTGGGCAACAGAGTGAGGCTCGGTCTCAAATAAGAATAATAATAATAATTTTTTAAAAACAAAACTTTTGTTCTGTTCTCTTCATCACTGCTGCTTCCCCTAACTTCTGTTCTCCTGATATTTGTTCATTTGGGTCCGTGTGTGGTGTAGCATCTTTTCTTCAAATAACAGGTGGTGATTAGTGGTCTATTCCCCTTCCAGAGGGAGAGACTGACAGCTCAGTAGAGTGTCTGGGAAGACAGCCCAGGCTTGTCAGTTTGGGACTTCTCTGTAGGATATTCAAGAGGCAAGCCAAATTAGAAAAAAAATGTTTTTTTGGAAGACTCCCAAAACCAGAATTTGAGACATTTTTTCTACAGTCTTTCGAGATTTTCCCAGTAGATAACCTCCTGCCTGTGGGTAGCCAGGAGAGTTAGGGGTGGAACAGAAGCCTGACAGCAGAAATAATCAACAAAGGGTTGAAGAAGAGCAGCAAGGATTTTGTTGCTTAGTATGCAGCTTTAATTTTAACCCGCCCTCCCTTCCTCCCTTCCCCCTGTCAACCTAAAATAATCAGAAGTCTCAGGCTCCACTTAAAAGAGTTTATTCAAGCGCAAGGGTGAGGGTAGCAGACACCAAAGAATGGTGATCATCACTCCTCGGTGTGGAGAAAGTTGAAGATCATTCATATAGGCAAAAAAACAGGGGTGCTGAACAGAATTGCAACATTTTCTTTCTTGTTTTTTTGGAGATAAAGTATTGCTCTGTTGCCCAGGCTAGAGGGCAGTGGCGTGATCTTGGCTCACTGCAACCTCCACCTCCCAGATTCAAGGGATTCAAAGCCTCAGCCATCCAAGCAGCTGGGATAACAGGCGTGTGCCACCACGCCCGCCCGGCTAATTTTTTGTATTTTTAGTAGAGATGGAGTTTTGCCCTGTAGGCCAGCCTGGTCTCAAACTTCTGGCCTCAAGTGATCTGCCTGCCTTGGCCTCCCAAAGGGCTGGGATTACAATTGTGAGCCACTGTGCCCAGCCAGAATTACAACATTTTTTTCATTTTTTAATATAGGATATAAAACACACACACACGAGTTGGCTGGCCACCATTGACTATACTCTAAGAGTTACTCAACATTCATCACAAAGAGGTAAGGGTCTCTATCTCCAATGTCATTTAGTTGAGGTTTGAATGAAGAATAGGAAGGGTGCTTAATTCTCAACACAAGGGTCAGAAGCAAAGGTCATGCATCAGAGAAGAAAAATAGCATGTATGTGACTCAGTTTCCATGGCTTAACTGTTTCTGCTGGCATAACCAATGCAGAAGGTCCTCAAACTTTCTTTTCTTTTCACACCTTTTCTCTCTTCCTTCTTTCTTTCCTTTCTTCTTCCCCACCTCCTTCTGTCTCTCTCTCTCTCTCTCTCCCCCGCCTCCCCCTCTCCCTCCCTCTCCCTTTCTCTCTCTCTTTTTCTCTTTAGCACAAAGCCTCTCCTCTCACCTGTGTCTGGGGTCCAGGTCTGGAGCCTCTACCCTTCCATGGTCTACATAGACCTACAGTCTCTGGCCTGGGGCAAGAGGCGTGGCAATTTCTTGATTTCATGTGTTGGGGGAAGGATCCAGGCAGCAGCCTCTCCAGTGCCAGGACCTTGTCTCACTTGGTCTGCAGGCCGGCCTCTCTCCAATTGACTCAATTACCTCTGCTTCACTGCTTCTTCCCTCCAAAAATATCTGTCAAATCCCCTTGTCTGTTGATGTTTCCTTTCCTGTTCTCTTTATCATTGGAGATGTAATGTATTTTTCAATTCTGTTCCTCTAATTTTAGTGAGGTCTCAAAAGGAAGAAGAGTTGAAAATGGCCACTCTTTCTACTAGAATGGAAAGTTCTCCATTCCAGACTTGTATACATCACTTGCTCCTGATTTTTGGCTAGAAAAAGTAATAATTATATTATCCATTATTAAAGATGAGTCTACATGATTCCAATATAATTTGCAAACAGTCCATGGTTATATTCAGTACTGTTATATGTAAAAATGTTTATTTAGAAATGAATGCTTGTTCCCCAGTGCCACAAAGAAATAGCACTGGAACATACATTTAATTCTCTCAGCAAGGCCATTTTTACTTTCCGCAGAAAGGGTGCTTATGGCAGATGGAACAATGGTGAGAGGACACCTGAACAATGGAGGGAAGCAATTTTTATCCCTCACGCAGTTTGTCCCTGCTACTGTATCCTGTCTCCATTGGCTGGAGCCAGACTTCACAATCTAAACTAAAACCCGATTGGCTAACAGTTTAAAACTTTTCTAAACAGGTAAAGGCAATAGAAAAACAAAGCAAAAAAGGAAGTTGCTTACGAAAGGACTTACAAAAGTAATAAGATTCCCAAATAAGGAATAAACATTCCCAAATAAGGAAGGGGCATAAGCTGCGAGCTGAGACATGCCTGTGAGCACGTCTAGCACAGATACCCTGGTTAAAGTGCAAGCACGTAGAATGTACTGCGTGCCTGTGAGCATGTCTAGCATAAAGTTCGTCTTTAAAAGAAACTATTAATTCTAACACTTAGGATTTTTCTTTAACAAGAAGGGAAACTTTGAAGAGGAACTTTTTATTTTCTATAAGTGCAATACACTCAAATCAATACAATATGAAATGTTTTATTTAAGCATATCTAATTAAGAAGTATTTGTACATTGCATCTATTTTTGAAAGATAAAATATGAACAATAGTAAGAATACTAATATGATTGATTGTTTTCCTTGTGACTACTAACACAACTGCTAACACAATTCGATTGGTTGATGAGAATCTTTTTGGGAAAATTTCTCCAACATTTAAAAAATAAAAATGAAAACTTGGTAGTCAGCAGTTTCTTTCTGGGAAATTCATTGTCTATGTTTAAAAATTATAAACTAAAACTTTTAGCTTTGTCTTATGTAAAATTAAATATTTTTATTTACTTATAAATTTAATATTTATGGTATTTTTACCTAATAATAATTAAATAATGTTTATGTACTTGTCAGGATTCTTCAGGAAACGGAAGATACACTCTTCTGGGATTTAGAAGAGAATCTCATGAAGGGCCTATTTCCAGCGGTGTGGACCGGGCTAAAGGAACCAACAAGGGATGTCGAGGGACCCAGGTGTCAGCCAGAGTGGCCTGAGACGGCAAGGGTGAGAAAGCACTGGAGCTGTCATCTTCCTGGGACTCAGTCCTTGACAGGGCGGGAGGGCGTGGAGGTAGAAATAACCTGACAACTCCCTCTTTTTGCTCCCTGGGCTTCACCTGCTGACGAAATCCAACCAAAAGCAAGAGAAGGACATCAGTGCAGCTGGCCTGCGTGGGTCAACCCCTGAGGCTGGCAGCTACAGAAGGACAGAGAAAGAGCAGAGCAGGGGAGGAAAAGGAACAGAACCAGCTGCCTCACAATACAAAATTGTTGGTGTGGGCTTAATTTGGAGAGAATCGAAAAGCTATTTGGTAACCAACCACTGGACTTGGGATAATGGTATCTCCCATTCCAACTGTTCTCTAAGTTTTCCATTCAATATTTTCTTTAGGTTTATAAATTCTGTGTACCAAGGACTACTTGGTGGTTCTGCTTGCAAAGAACCTATATTTGCACATTTAGGAATTTCCAAACAGAGATGGAGATTAGAGTCTCTTCACAACTGAAGTAAAACAGAAATGTTCATGTTTTTCTTTAAACACTTTCTGGTGTTAGCAAGTTAACTTAAAATGTAAGTGAAAATCCATTCTCAAATCAATGGTAGCCATTTAATTTTGCTGACTTCTTGTGCTTCAGATTTGAAGTTTAGTGATCTCTCAGTAAAATCTTAAATGTTGATTTTCTTTTACGACCTATGAAAGATGACACTTTCAGCAAAGTCTTAAGCATGCAAATAAAAATTCATTTTATTATTATTTTTTGTTTGGATTTCATTGAGCTATTTTGGGGTTAATCTTTTGGCCCTCACACATGCAGAACTCCTTCGAGTTCAATGGGTGTTATGTGCATGGAAGAACTTAAGAACTGGGCCTTTGGTTTATTTCTGTAATACTCACTTGAATTGCCTCTGTTTAGTTTTCAAAAGGTGGCTTCCCGGATTTCTATTCATTTGTGCACTGCACTCTCCCTTTCCCTTTGTAAATTTGGACAATTCATACCCCTACCCTCTCTTTGGTGTCCAGAAGTTCTGGTCTGTGAAGCACTGTTGCTTAGCAACAGGTTAACTGGCTCTTCCTCTCTATGGGGGACTACAAAAAAGCCGGTCAGAACCTCTACAAACTCTCATTTATTGAGGAATACAGATGCAGTTTCTTATGCTGCATTACTGATGGGCCATATGGTGTAAATTCTATCTTTAAACTACAGCAAGATAGAAAATGCATGTTTCAAAATCAAAATTTTAAAAATTCACACTGGCATACTTGTTTGGCTTGATTTTCAAAAAATCCATTTACTTAAAAAGAGTGCTTTTAATGAAATAAGGTACACATTCCCCCTGAATTAATTAATTAATTAATTTGAGACAGAGTCTTACTCTGTCACCCAGGCTGGAGTGCAGTGGTGTGATCTGGGCTTACTGCAACCTCTGCCTCCTTGGCTCAAGCCATCCTCCCACCTCAGCCTCTCAAAGAGCTGGGACCACAGGTGCATGCCACCACACCTGGACAATGTTTTTGTATTTTTGGTAGAGACAGGGTTTCACCATGTTGCCCAGGATTCTCTGGAACTCCTGAGCTCAAGCGGTCCACCTGTGTTGGCCTCCCAAAGTGTTAGGATTATAGGCATGAGCCACCACACTTGGCCTCCCCTTGAATTTAAACCAAAAAAACAAAAACAGGCGTAAGTTTAAGTTGATTACAGAATCTTTTCCAAAATATCTTCTCTTACTAAAATTTCTTTCATGTAAATATTGTTTGGAATAGAGAGAGGGTGGTGACAAAATAATCTTCCTATATCTTATATCAAGTTTAAATAGACAGTGGAAGCCAATTTGGGATTCACAAATACAGTACTATGACACTTGGAGAAATAAAAAACTTGTAGAAAGCATCTTTAGGAAATTCTAAGGTTAAATACCATTGAACTGGGGAACAAATAAAGCTAAGGTAAAGTCTGGTATTTTCTCATTCAGTAATAAACCACCACAACATGCAGATTCTTCACCTGCCAAGCAAGCAATTCTAAAAACCCCTCTTGGTAGGAAAGGAGATAAAAAATTATATTGAAGAACACCTGTCTGGGCTCAGTGGCTCACGCCTGTAATCCCAGCACTTTGGGAGGCCGAGGCGGGTGGATCACCTGAGATTGGGAGTTTGAGACCAGCCTGAGCAACGTGGAGAAACCCTGTCTCTACTAAAAATACAAAATTAGCTGGGTGTGGTGGTGCATGCCTGTAATCCCAGCTACTTGGGAGGCTGAGGCAGGAGAATCACTTGAATCCAAGGGGCGGAGTTTGCAGTGAGCTGAGATGGCGCCATTGCACTCCAGCCTGGGCAACAAGACCAAAACTCTGTCTCAAACAAATAAACAAATGAACAAACAAAAAACACCTGATTACCTACAAACAAAAACAAAACAACTCCTCAAGTTTAAATTTTATAAACTTTTTTTAAGTTTTGGGACTTCTTGCTGGCCAGGATGGAGGAGGCACAGCACAGTTCAGTTCTCCCACTAATCAAAACTAAGGATTTTTTTTTTTTTAAAGACAGAGTCTTGCTCTGTCGCTCAGGCTGGAGTACAGTGGCGCAATCTCAGTTCACGGCAACCTCTGCCTACTGGATTCAAGTGATTCTCCTGCCTCAGCCTCCCAAGCAGCTGGGATTACAAGCATGCACCACCACACCCAGCTAACTTTTGTATTTTTGCTAGAGGTGGGGTTTCGCCATGTTGGCCAGGCTGGTCTCGAACTCCTGACCTCAGATGATCTACCTGCTTCAGCCTCCCAAAGAAAACTAATAATTCTAGGCCGGGCGTGGTGGCTCACACCTGTAATCCCAGCACTTTGGGAGGCTGAGGTGGGTGGATCATGAGGTCAGGTGATCAAGACCATCCTGGACAACATGGTGAAACCCTGTCTCTACTGAAAATACAAAAATTAGCCAGCCATGTGGCGCACGCCTGTAGTCCCAGCTACTCAGGAGGCTGAGGCAGGAGAATTGCTTGAACCCAGGAGACGGAGGCTGCAGTGAGCCGAGATCTCGCCACTGTACTCCAGCCTGGGTGACAGAGCAAGACTCTGTCTCAAAAAAAAAAAAAAAAGAAAACTAAGAATTCTAAACAAAATGAAATGCTAACTCCTTGAGGTCTCTGGAAAGTAAATAATGGCAGGCAAATTGGAAGAAGGAGGGTGACAAAACTTGAAGAAGTCACAAAACAGGCATGTGTTTCCCAGTTTTCTGTACTCCTACCCCTTTCAGGTTTTTTATTTTTATTTTTTGAGACAGAGTCTCTGTCACCCAGGATGGAGTGCAGTGGCACAATCTCGGCTCACTGCAACCTCCACCTCCCAGGTTCAAGCAATTCTCCTGCCTCAGTCTCCCAAGTAGTTGGGATTATAGACACCTGCCACCACGCCTGGCTAATTTTTGTATTGTTAGTAGAGACTGGGTTTCACTATGTTGGCCAGTCTCGAACTCTTGACTTCAAGTGATCTGCCCGCCTCAGCCTCCCAAAGTGCTGGGATTACAGGCATGAGCTACCGCGACCAGCCCCTTTCAGCTTTGATATAAAGCTAGCCAGCCCTCCAGCAACCCCCTGTCAAGCAACTTCCCAGTTGACATGTGCAGTAAAAACTCCAAGAAGAGTTTGGTCTCTCTGGCCAACGAATGAGGAAAAGGAGCCCCTGTGAACCAAGGAATGCAGGGGGAAATCCCTGTGTTCTTCCTCTCTCTCCCTTTCTCTTTCTTTCCCAGCCCTGCTTTGAGGGAGACCCCAGTCATGCCACCATAAAGAGGCAGATGGGCAACAAAACTCCAAGACATTTCTGTGAGCCAAGCAGTGTGTGTTGACGCATCCTAGAGAAGAGAGAGCTAGAGGAGGGGAATCCCTAAGTCTGGGTACGGGCTGGCACAAGTCCTGGGCTCAGGCCTAAGCCGCACATGCACAGACAGACACAGAGAAGTGAACAGAGTCTTTGAAAATTGAAGAGGTGCCACTGGGACCACCACCACAGAAGGGGAGACAGTTTGTCATCTGAACTTAACTGAGTCGGTTGTCTGCTTACAATCAATGTTCTCCAGGGGATTTTAACAAGTTGCAGACTCTCCGGACTTGGTATTCAAAACATCCAGAATACGATCCAACATTACTAGATGCACAAGGAACCAGGTAAGTATGACCTATTCACAAGGAAAAAGACAACCAACACATGTCATTCCAAAAATGACTTGGATGTTGGATCATCAGACAACAACTTAAAACAACTTTTATAACTATTCTCTTAAGATGAAAACAAAGGGCCAGGCTCAGTGGCTCATGTCTGTAATCCCATCACTTTGGGAGGCCAAGGTGGGTGGACCACCTGAGGTTCAGTGTTCGAGACCAGCCTGGCCAACATGGTAAAACCCTGTCTCTACTAAAAATATACAAAAAATAGCTGGGCATGGTGGTGCACATCTGTAATCCCAGCTACTTGGGCGGTTAGGCAGGAGAGTTGCTTGAACCCAGGAGGCAGAGGTTGCAGTGCACAAAGATTGCAGCCTGGGTGACAGAGTGAGACTCCACAAGAAAGAAAAAGAGAGAGAGACAGAGAGAGATAGAGAGAGAGAAGTTTTTGATGGAGACACAGAAGCTACGAAAATTACAAATGAGAATTCTAGAACTGAAAAAATTATATTTCTGAAGTTAAAAAATGTAATGGATGGACTTAGTAGCAGAATGGAAATGACAAAAGAAAGAGTCAGTGAATTGAAGACAGATCAGTAGAAATTAAACAGAGGACACTGAGAAAATGGATTAAACAGAATGAACAGAACTTCAGGAACCTGGGAGACAACACCAGAAAATCACATATATTTGACACTGGAGTCTCAGAGGGAAAAGAGAAATTGGTGCAGACACAAAAAAGTTTTTAGAAATAATTGCTGAAAACTTCTTAAATTTGACAAACAATAGAAATACACATTCAAGAAACTCAGCAAAATCTAAACAAGATGCTAAGCATAACATAATCAAACTGCTGAAAACTAAAGATTTAAAGAATCCTGAAAGTAGCCAGAAAGAAACCCAATACATTAGGTATAGGGAACAACAATTCAAATTGCAGGTTATCTCAGACATATAACAAAACATTGTGTAGGCCAAGATGCAGTGGAACAATATCTTTAAAGCACTCATAGGAAAGAATCATCCACCCAGAATTCTATACCCAGTGCCAATATTCTTCAGGAATATGGACTTCCTGAAGAA